AGGCAATTGCTAAACAAGGACTAACTTGTATTATATGTTAATGCTGTAATAATTCTAATCATTTAAAACATTGTTTTATCTGAACTGGAACATATTTTTAAATAAATCTTGCACATTATATTTTACCAAACTGTAAAATGGAACCTAACAGTCCAAGGAGGGACCACTGTGGCCTGTACTGACTTGGGAATGAAGCTTGAATTTATCATTGGAAACACATATATTTGCTGAAATAATGGGGTTTGGGCAATTCCTGTTTTTTCAACATTGATAGAATATGAGAAATAATGATTTAGATTTCCTCAGGATTGGGTGAGAATGAAGTAGGACGTGCCATTATGTTGATTACAACTGAAATTCAAATGATTTTTAAATATTAATTTTAGATGGCACAAAGCTATCCTGAGGGCTGATCTCCGTTTTGAAACACAGCAGCCATCTGTTAACTTGAATTGATTCAAATTAGAGACCCCTATTTTTCCCTGTTTAAAAGCTTAACAAAAAGTAGGCAGAAAAATATATCGAACCAATCTCCATGAAGACAGAATTACAGGTAGACCTCGCTTGTCAACCACCTTGTTTAGCAACTCTTCAAAGTTATGATGGCGGTGAAAAAATTACCTTTGCAGCCAGTCCTTGCATTTATGATCTACGCAGTGTCACTGTGGTCCTGTGATTGCCAGTTGTGTACTTTGCAACAAGCAGAATGGAGAAGGTGGCAGTAAAATAGGAAGTTACGATAACATAATGTCTCAATTATTGCAGCAGGTCATAAGTCCATAGTGGTTACATGATGTTTCATTTATTGGCCATAATTCCTAAAATGGAGTTGCCTGTCCCAGTTGTGTTAGCTAAGCAAGGACTAACTGCATATAATTTAGATACTATTATAAAGAATGCTGCCTTATAAAAGCAATAAAAAGACAGGACCACAGGAACATGTAATTTATGGTTTATTTGTTTATCTTATACTTGACCTCTCTGGATGAATGAAATTATTGGTTTTGTGTGATTCTTAAAAATCTTGAGTTATTAATTTGCATGAAGCTGTGTGTAAATTGCCATAGCAACCAGCTCTTCAGATTGTTTTCTTTGAAATTACATCTCATAACTGTCTCTTAAACTAAAATGTAATGTGTAAATGCCAATTAGGGGGAAATTTTCTGTACTTATTAAAATGATAAGCAGCATTGTGAGGTAAAGATTATTCTGCAGGAAAACAACAGGGTAACTCTTAATTTCGACTAGATTTCATAATCTAAGATTTGCTGTGATTGTTTCTACAGAGGTGTTGTAACAACCTATGATGATTTCCTAATATTTTGGCAATTACTACTGGCTATAATGATATTGTGAAAGTTGATCAATATTTGTTAGCCATTTTGTCCTGTTTTTAGCTAAGCAAAAGAATGTGAACGACAGGGTGATATTCCTTATCACAGAAGCTTCTTTTTGAAAGGGGGCTGTTTACAAAAGGGGTCAAGCTACAGAATATTTATCTCACTACTGAATATTGGTTCAGGGTATATGATCCACTTATCTCATTACTGAATACAGGGGCATATGATCCATTCTCCCAAATTAACTTGATCTGTTCCTTCAATATTCTGCTATCTCAACTATTTTTATGATGCATTTTTGTTGGATTTTTGTACCCTACCCATGCATTTTTTCCCTCTGGTGGTATGATTAATCATGACTCCAAAGTCTGATTTTGATGTTTGAACTTTTTTCATAAACTAGGATAAATGTAGAGAAATTTGGGAGATATGATCCAATATCTGGGTTAAATAGCAGGTTTGGGAAGGAAGACCAGTAATCTAGCTTCTAAAGAGTGGCTCCAAATATTGCAAATCACCACATTCTGATGGCATATTAAACCACACTGGGGTCTGGGTTATTGTGTGAATCTCTAAAAGAGTCAACAAAAATAAATAACATTAACTTTTCTCATCTTTTCAAAACAACCCAAATCAATCTTGGAAGCAACGGATGGAAACTAATCAAGGAGAGAAGCAACCTAGAACTAAGGAGAAACTTCCTGACAGTTAGAACAATTAACCAGTGGAACAACCTGTCTCCAGAAGCGGTGAATGCCCCAACACTGGAAGCTTTTAAGAAGAAACTGGACAGCCATTTGTCCGAAATGGTATAGGGTTATCTGCCTGAGCAGGGGGTTGGACTTGATGACCTCCAAGGTCCCTTCCAACTTTATTATTATTATTATTATTATTATTATTATTATTATTATTATTATTATTATTATTATTATTATTATTATTATTATTATTATTATTATTATTATTATTATTATTATTGACCAGGATTTACTTCCACCAGCTCATAGCATAAACCGATGCTTCTCAACCTCAGCAACCTCAAGATGCATGAACTTTTAACTTCCCAGCATTCTGGCTGGTGAAATTTTGAGAGTTGTAAGTCCACATATCCTAAAATTGCTGAGGTTGACAAAAACTAGCATAAACCACAAGCCATTATTGGACAAGCTAAATCTCAAGCTAAAAATGTTTTTTTAGGAAAACACTGTCTTTTAGTGCACGCACCTGTGTCTGTGTGCATTGGTTGGAGATCCCAAAGGTGCTTTTTCAAAAGGCAACTGGACTTTGACTTTTTCCTTGAAGACGTTTCGCTTTTCATCAAAGAAGCTTCTTCAGTTCTGACTGAAAATGACTGAAAATCTCCACAGACATTGGTTGGAGATGTCAAGTTTGCTGCCTGCCACTGGCCCTGCTTGCACTTTATGCAATGTATGCAGGATTGCTGTTCCAGACAACAATATTCTTGTAAGTTACCCTAGAAGCAAACTGGTGTTTTTTTCACCAAGCTGACCGAATGGAACCGGCTGTTTAGCCAAAGCCTTTACAATTACAATAGGGTTTATATACAGTGATCTTTTTCCCCATTCTTAAAGATGTCCTCCTATAAAAACCTACTATTTAATTCCTTGGGGTTTGCTTCTGCACAAATAACCTGAATAATTTGAAAGCATGTTTTTTAGAGCCATCTTTTCTTAAAGGAGCCCGAGACCCACGTACTGTTGAAGATATTCTTCTCCCAAGACTGAATCAATTAGAGTTAATAAAAATCTTGCATTGGGAGATGCGGCGGCTTGCTTCTATGTAGATTATATCTAGGCATTACCTAAGGCTAACTGGTGTACACCTTTGCATGGGACTGTTGAAGGAATAGTCTTCATCATAGTTCAGTCCAAGCCGGGAATAAACAACATGGCGACTGCTTTAGAAAGAAGGTTGCAGTTTATTGAAGAGGAGAGCCAGACAGAAAGATGACTCTGGAAGAAAAAAAGAGAGAGAACACATGTAGGGCGTGGGTTTTTATACCTTTTGAGCCTTTTGTTTGGAGTTTTTCCTGTGGCATGAACTTTGATCTGAGTCTGAGTGTGCCTTTCTGGTATTCTGATGGCGGTGGGTTAATCCTATTATGTCCCAAAGGTCATATCCTGCTTCCCTGGGACTGTGGCTGATGACTCTTAAGATTTTTGGTATGAGGGATGGTTGATTCTAGGGATCTTTCTTCCTAATCCCAGTTTCCTGACGCCAGTCTTTCTGACAAGATTACCACATCTGCAATTCTGCAGACCTGGCTTCTGTTTGAGACAGAGAGACTTGGGGGGCGGGGTTGGTTTTCTGCTTTTAAAATCCTTTAGGGGAAATATATTCTGCCTTTTAAATATTTCCAAAAATATTTCTTTCTCTGGGAGGGAAGGGGCTGACTTCCCACAAGACTGTGCTCTTACCGAAACCACCCTTGCATATCGGTCGCATTCTCTTTTTACACTCATATATCAATTCCTCGGAGCAAGGCAATGTCAGGGGAAGGAGTCACGAGATGCCAGAATTTCAGAACGACGCAGCGGGAAGCGGAACGTTCTTCGCTGACACTTCTTCCTTTAGGAAAGCAACTTCTTTGTGACGTCAAGGCAGAACGAAGGAGGAGATAAGACACCGCCCCTCTCCCCCCCCCCCCTCGGTTTCTTTAGCCGACCGGTTCGCGGCTCCCAACTTTCATCCCTTCTCGGAGGTTATGAAACGTACTTCGCTACGTCTGTTTCGCAGTGGGGGCCGGCCGAAGCTGGCAGCCAATCAGCTGGCTCTCCGACGCCATCACACGGGGCTGCTCCCGATTTTATGTAATATTACGGCTGGGGGTGCTGGTGGCGGTGGTAATTTTGTGTGTTTTGTCCGTATAGAAGGTCATCGGAACAATCCGGTAGCCGAAAGCGGATTCGGCGTAAATAAGACAATATACTGCGCGGAGGCGGAAAAGTTACTGGTTTGGGGCCCCTCCTCCTTTGAATTCGTCCCACGCCGCGACACCTTCCGCCTCCTGGTCGCTAACTAGAAAAAGGATGCCGTCTCCTGCCAGGCGAAGAAATCGCCCCAGACGAAATGAAGGGACCCACCTTCGGCGAGCGTCTTCTCCGGCGACTGCCCATTGATTGATTGATGGGCGCAAGAGTGTTGCTGAATTAAACAGTTAAGACTTGGAGGAAACCAGCCAGCCGTGGCCGGAGAGCGCTAGATGCTCAGGCGGCGCGGGGAAAAGATGAAGCTGTTGATTTAGTTAGTGGTCGTGGCATGGAAAGCAAACCCGGTTGCTGCGCGCGAAGTTAGCAGAAACCCGACGAGTTTGCTTTTGGGGGGCTGGAATGTTCCAGCGCCTGGAGCGAGCAGCTTTTTTTTTCCTTCGGAAGTCGAAGAAATTCCCCCGGGGGGCATCGGGAACTGCAAGGGAAGTTTGGGACTTTTAAGAGCCGGCGGGTTATATTCCGCTTTGCTGGTTAGGACAGGGCAAAACAAGGGGGAATGAAGTTCAGGCTTTGCGAAAGTGTCCCACTGGCCCTTTCGGCCGCCTTTCTTTGCTGCTCTTAGGAAGCCGTCGACCTTTGCCCGGTGCCCTCCGGACTCCCGTTTAGTCCGCGGTTCCCGCCTCCCGCCCCCTCCTGGCAGAGCAGAAGCATGGAGCTCTTCCTCTGTCCCTCCTGTCGCCTGCTTCTCTGGGACCCGGTGACGGTCTCCTGCGGCCATTCCTTCTGCAGGAGATGCCTGGGCGAAACCTTGCCTTCCGAGTGCCGCCTCTGCGGCGAGAAACTCGGACTCCTGGGCCCGCGGACGCCGGGCTCGAACGTCCTCCTCGGGAACTTGCTAGAAAAGGGCTTGGATCCGGCCGCCAAGGTGGCCCGGTTGAAAAGGGACCTGCAGGAGCTGGTGAGCAACAGGGACTTCCAGGAAGCGCTGAGGACACTTCAGAAGGGAATCGACTTGGGTAAGGTTTGCGTGCTATCCAGAGGTGCTTTTTAGAAGGTGTTGCGAGGTTGAACGGCGGGGCGAAGGGGAAGGGAGACTTTTATGCGCGGGGACCGGCCGCCGGGTGCTCCCTGGTTATGCAAACTTGCCACCATCTCGCTGGCTGCATTGTGTAAGCAGGCGAGGGACAATTCTTGGCAGCCCTTTTCACTGACTTAGCTATGGGTTTCCTCTTCCTTAAGGCTGGTGATTTTACTGGTCACGGGCGTGATACAAATTTTGGGTGTACAGGGTGTCCCACTTGTGCCTTGCTGATGAAACTTGCGATTTTCTTCTTTTAAGCCAAAAAAAAAAAAAAAGGCTTACCAATAGTTCGCTTCCGTTGCAGATTTTGTCCACGGAGGTGAAAACAATGGTAATGGCCACATCAGAAAATGAAATATAAATCTAAAGTGTGTATGGTGATAGGAGAGTTAGTTGTTCCTGGGGGATTATTCCTTAGGTTGCTTTAAAAATTGAGTTATGTAACTTGCTGGCCACCTTGGAGGCTATGGGGCCATCTTTAACTGTTCATGGGTGGCAAAAATAAAATAGAGCAGATCTTTATAATATTTCAGTATCATTTCTGTGATTTGAGGTTTTGAAAGTTTCTGAAGTAACAGCTATGAGCAGTTGTGACCGGTCCCAAATTATGTGGGAATCTTAACCCTTCCTCCAATTTTAAGGGAATCTTAATCCTACCTCAAATGTTAAGGTGAGAGAATTCCCTCAGAGCACCAATTTCAATGTTGAAATGGTTATTGTTCTTGTACACTGCAGGTTAAGGTTTCATGGAGTCTTTATTTCTTTACCACTTACTGAAGAAGCAGGCTTTCAACAGATGCTACTTTCCTATTATGGCGATGTCATGATGATGATAGATATACCAAATTTCTTTTAACATACTTTTATGTTAAAAGTGTCTTTGTCAGGGGGAAAAAGATGACCTTCTGTTATTATCTAGGCTAGGGGAAATCATCTCATTTCATCTGTAATCTTAAAGTCAGCTTTGGCACTGGTAAAGTTGATGCTACTTAAACCTTAGGACTTAGGAATGAGTAATTAAGAATCAGGCTTCCTTTTCTGATTCAGACTTTCCTGTGTGTGTGGAAGATGACACACCCCTCTCATTTATAGTGCACCAACAGCCTGTTATAAAATGCTAGCTCTTGTTTTGCAATGAGTCAGAGACACGCGTACAGGTGTTTCAATCAACAAGTGAGCCTTATACGGGAATATTTTCATCTACCCTGATTTTTTCTTACTTGGAGGATTTCTTCAATGAATATGGCTAGAACTCAAATTTAGTGGCCCTTGAATTTAGTCCAGGTACATTTATAACATGGACTATCAAGGAGCTGATAGCCTGAGCAATGTTAAACAATCTTCTGCATTTCAGCTTTTTACCATTTATACTATACTTTTCTCTATAAGCACAAAGCAGATGAGATGAAAATATGCTATCAAATTAATCTTGTATTTGGCATTTTTTTAAAAAAAAATCTATTTTTTTTTTTCATTTTAACTGATCCTTGAAAAAAGTTTTGGAGATTAGGAACGCTTAGAACATTGTACAAGGGCAATTCGGAAATAAACCTCCATTTGGTTATCAATGACAGACACTCGCAGATACAGAACTTTTATTATACACATTAGAAAACTACAACATTACATTACTTTTTGACATAATCACCATTCAAATTGAGGCACTTGTCATAATGTCTTACAAGGTTTGAAATTCCTTAGTAGTAGTCGCTCGGTGCCAAATCTGGGCTACTGGGTGTGTGTATGATCCAAAACATCCCAACGGAATTGCTTCAAAAGTTCTTGGGTGCGTCTAGTGGTGTGTGGGCGAGCATTATCGTGAACCAACACCACACCGGAAATAGAAAATCCCGCCAAATGTGAAGATGCCAAAGGAGTACTGCTAGTGAAGTTCATGGAGCGTGGTTTGACTATCAATTCAAAAGTCTACTGTGAAATGTTATGAAAACTGAGACGAGCGATCCATAACAAGCGTCGGGTCGGGGCATGCTGACTTCTGGTGTGGTGTTGGTTCAGGGTAATGCTTGCCCGCACACCACTGGATATGGTGGTTCAGGTTTTTTTTTAAATTTAATGCAAGAAACAAGGACTAATTTTTACCTGATTTATACTACAAGAGAGTATTTGACAGCTCGGAGACTGAATTGTCTCTCTTGTTCTTTATTCCTCATTCTCTTAACATCTCTGTAATGGAAACTTCTTTGATAGGGACTTTCTGTCATTGAATAACTTTTTAATTCTGGAAATCTACTCAGTGGATGAGTTCTCTCTTACCATTCAATCCTATCATCCCCATCCTCAAATGATACAAGTACCATTGTATCTTTCCAACTAAGAAAACAGTAGATCTTTTCCTTAAGCACAGATTTGTTTGACAGAATAAGCTATATTGTTGTATCAGAATAAGCTATCTTCAGATGATTTGATCTGCCTTTTTATCTGGTGGATAATACTTGAGACCATCCTTCTTGTCAATAAAGTAGAATTAGTGACTTTTTTTTTAAAAAAAAAATCTAGCTAAACTTATTGGACATGAACACAGCCAATTCTAGTCAATAAGTCTCTTTCTTGGAGATTTTCTTTTATTGCCTTGGTGTGTATAACTGTACAGTGTTTGTTTTTTTATTATTTCTTGGAACAACAGTAAAATGTTCTGCTTCCTCCTACAGCTCCAGATGATCTTACATTAAGGGTGTGCAGATCAGAGCTTTATGTGGCTTTACAGCAGTATGAAGCGGCTCTTGAGGATTTGGAGATTCTATGCAAGCAGAAGCCAGAAGAATGTGAAGTGAGTCAAGTGCAAAGCTGTGTGTTGTGATCCAGAACTTTGCATATGTTCTTCCCAACTTTTAAGCGGTGAGATGAAATAGCATTTCTGGAAAGGCTACATTTTATCTCAGTTGCAATAATAGTACAGAAAATGAGCATATTCCTTCATATAGTAAATTAGGGGTAGGCAACCTTGGCTCTTTTATGAGTCGTGGACTTCAACTCCCAGAATTCCTGAGCCAGCATCAGGAATTCTGGGAGTTGAAGTCCACGACTCATAAAAGAGCCAAGGTTGCCTACCCCTGATATAGTTGCTTATTTAAATACAAGATAGGCTTTCCCTGGTTCTGTACAAGCCAATGTTGACCCATATGCTCTAACAGAATGATTAAAAACCATTCTCCTGCTAAAGAAGAACTTGAACTACTTCTGGAAGGTTCACAGACTTCAGCTGAACGTTCTCTTGTCAAAGAGAAATTTACCAATGTTTCAATCAATGCTCAACTATAGGCTAAATTTGCAGTCGGGAGAATTTCTGGGAAATATTGAATGTTTGAGCTTTGATAGTGGAAAACCGGGGTCTTAGTTAATTTTGCAAGACTACCTTGTAAAAATTTCTCCATGTTTATCCATATTATGCTCCCTGACAATAAATTTCTCCACAAAAAATAGACAATATAGGTTGTTTACTATTTTAAATACTATTTGGATAAATTTAAAAGAATTGGTGATTGGAATTTGCACATCCAATCAGCATAATATTTTATAGGACAAGTGTTAGTGTGCTGTCCAGAAAATTCCCACTCTGTATGTCAATGGGGAGGAACAAGTGATGGAATCTGTATGATGACATCATGATTGGAGAGGCAAATTTCTAGTCCAACCTGTTCTGACAGATATCAGTCTACTTCAAGGAACCAAATACTGGATGACTGATTTATTGTGGCTTATCCCTCCATCTGTATCTGCCAGGCTTGAATGTAGCCTGGAAAGCTCAAGTAGAGAATTTAAAATCTTGATTTACATAGAGACAGAACAACCCTTTCTCATCTCTGCTGATAGTCCCCCTTTACAGTCCCCCAATATCTGTATCACTAATTAGTTCCATCTCACAGGAGGGCCTTTACTTTGGCATGTATGGATGCTCTCCCCACAATGGCACTTGTGGGTAAATATAATAGTATTCCTTACCAAGACCTTTTGTGTGTTTACATAGACTTTGAAACTGAGATAATAGTGCACATACTTCTGAAATGTCTCATCTACCACTTTTAGCAGTTAGAGATAATCTTTCATCTTAATTACAAACTATTCCTTCCCCAGGTATAGTTAGTGCAAGTATGAATAGGTTTTTATTGGATGCTATGCAAATCTGTTTTTTAACTTCTGTATGTTTGATCTACAATTGTATGTTTTTAATAAACTGAGAAAACTATGAAAACTCCTCCCCTTGCATGCTTTGGGTGGAGGGATGTTACAATGCAGGTTTATAAGGGAGAGCTTGCATTGTAGAGCCATAATTAATGTTTTGCTAGTTTGGCATCACCATGATTAGTAATTTGAAAATGCTATTTTGGAGCACTTAACATTCTTCAGTTGAGCGTATGTTCAAACTTGATCTCATGGGTACTCCTTCACTAATTTTTAAAACTTTTTTCCTATCTTTTGATATTTGTGTATTCCCAAATAATTTCTTCGACCCCTCTGAAGGTACATGCACAAATATGATAGTTGCTAATCAGTTTTTACAATAATCAAAGCACTGATTTTTTTGGGGAAGTAATTTCTATTTGATCACTTCTGTTTGATCACTATTGGAAATAATATTTTATATTTTAACACTTGCCAGACTTGTTCTTTTAGGCTCTGTTGAAAAAGCACTTCAACCTATGAATGTGACAAAGCAAGAATGGAAATCTGTGTGATTGTCATTTTGCTACATTTTCGGTATGAACATTTTGAAGAAAGGTTTATGGTAATAATGCATAGAATATTTTTGAGGAAGGCCTATTTTATTTGCATTTTCAGATAGCTCTCTTTTGTTTTAGCCTTTTATTTTCTTCACATTAAAGAAGTGGAGAAGTTGTATTGTTGCATTAATTGAAGCTATTTCATAGTTCTCTTGTAAGTATGTTCTTCCCCTTCATCCTTTCTACAATGGTTTTTTTTTAACTACCCAAGTTCTGTGCTCAGAGTAGTTTGATCAGGTGCTGCCACTTGTTGAGATTAAAAATAGTTTCCTTTGAGTCCTACTCACATCCTAGTACCTTAATGAATATGTTCATGAAGTTTTCATGGGTCTCCCAAGTTCTATTTCAATATTATACCTAACCAGCATTTTGAATATCTGTGTAATCCAAAATAAAAATGTTCAGTGAAATTCTCTGCCTCTTTCTCTGGTGTGTGTGTTTACATATTGATATACATATATACAAACCAACACATTAGACATTACATATACTTGGTATAGACCAGTGATGGCGAACCTTTTAGAGACTGAGTGCCCAAACTGCAACCCAAAACCCACTTATGCATCGTCGAGTGCCGGGTGGGCATGGCCCATTGGGTGGGCGTGGCTGTGGGGGTAACGGCAGACTGGGTGGGATTAAAAAGTTCAATCAATCAATTTCAACTTCGCAAGATCTTTTTTTTCCCCGCAAGAAGTTGAAATTGACTGATTGAACCTTTTTTTTTTTTTGCACACGGCGGCGGAGGCCTAAAGCGAAAAGGTTTTATAAAACCTAGCTGAAGGCCTAGGACTGGTGTGACGGTGCGCGTGCCCACAGAGAGGGCTCTGAGTGCCGCCTCTGGCACCCGTACCATAGGTTCGCCACCACTGGTATAGACAGTTCTGAGCTAGATGCATTGAGTCTATACTTCTGGTGTACTCTTTTTGACCTGGGAGTGCGTTAACTCCATATAGCTTCCGTCTCAGCACACATCCAGAAGTGCTGGCGGGAAAGAGAGGCTTTAGCTTTTGCCTCAGATTTTCTGATCACTGTTTTCCTGTTCTTAGGGATTGTGGAAATTGGTGGAGAGAATGATCCCTATCCTGATTGCCATTTTATTGTTTCAACAACATCTTTCACTGTTGCCCAGTTGACAAATGACAAGCTAGACTAGAGGGAATATAGCTGGCGGATTCTTTGGTTCTGCCAATCATGGGAGGAGGATTTAAGTAGCAACCTGCCTACTCAACAAGAGTTTACACTGAGGACTACTTAATTGGTTGATTAATTGACTAAACCTGCGGCCTTTGGCATTATGCAAAGCAATCTGCAGCAGTGGCTGCAAAACGTTATGACAGTTCAGGAAGGCAACTGAAATGTGTTTCGTGTTTCTTTTCAGGGCTTTTTTAGAAAAGGGAAAGTGCTCTTGGACTTAGGGAAGCAATCAGAGGCCCTGCTGCAGTTTCAACACTGCCTTACACTGAACTCCAGTTTCCATGCTGCTCAATATGAAATAGAAAAGGTAAGTGCATTACTATGACTAAGCACCTTGAGATTAAATGTTGGAAGCTTAATTGGTTTGCTTAGGAAGAGGCAGCGGGTTTTTTTGTGGTTTTTTTTGAGATTTTAGTAAAAGAAGATGAGATTCTTGTTCAGTGTTTCTCAACCTTGACAATTTTAAGGCATGTGGACTTCAACTCCCAGAATTCCACAGCCAGCAATGCTGGCTGTGGAATTCTGGGAGTTGAAGTCCACATGCCTTAAAATTGTCAAGGTTGAGAAACACTGCTAGATGATGGAATTTATGAAGTTGTATCTAGTCATACTTTTCCAATTGGGTATCACTCTTTTTTTTTTTTTAGAAAGTTTGTTTTGTTTGAGAATTGTTAAACTACACAGAAATTAAGATTTAAATGGCAAAATATAATTGGATGTGTCTATGGTTGCACACAGTTTGTCATTTTTGTGTAATGCTGGGCAAAGGCTTACAATATTTCTGAGAGGTGTGGGCCATAATGTTCACTGTGGTCTGAATCACATTTTGGCCTTAGAATGTAGGTCTTTGCTTACCCCTAATAAATATATTGTTAGGCAGGTTGCTTTTGTATTGGTAAGGGTTATGAGAAATCATTTCTCTATGTAGTCTTTTGGACTGAACAACTTTAAGCAGGCTGGCTGGGGAGTTCTGAGAACCGAAGTCCACATATTTTAATGTTCCTGAGATTGAGGAATACTGGTTTGGAAAAGAGGATTTTCTTTTTTAAAAAAAAACTTAACTGATTTGATGTCTTGACAAGTATAGCATGAAGAAAGTGAAGCCTGTATCTGACTAGCTTCATATTTAACCAACTGAGAGACATGAGCCTTGTAGACTGCTCAGAAGTCAGATTCTATTGGGAAGTTTCTTCTTTAGAATGAACTAATGTAAAATCTTTCTGTTGCAGATTCTCACAAATGATGCCTCCCCTACTCCTGGTACTGTTATGGAGTTGAAGAACAATGGTAGCCAGAACTTGGAAGATTGTAATTCAAGGGAACAATTGACTTTTCCTGTGAGTTTTGAAGAAGAACCCCTACCGGTAGGTCATATGGGATGATACCTTACCAGTTCCAAACTTAGAGATGGTATAACAAAAATATGTATTTGTATGTGATGGGACATTGGTGAAAGGGTTTCCACGTGGACTCTTTCATAAGTTTCCAACCACATCAGGACTGTCCACTCACCTCTAGTTTTCTCACTTATAGCAATTCTTGTACATTCATCTGTTCACAAAAGAACTAGCTAACATTTTTAGGGATTGGGGAAGCCTATCTTACCTTTCACAGAGTTGTATTAACTCCTTTACTTTTAAACAATATCTATTTTTAATCTATAATAATAAAAATACAAGAATTAAAAACAAACATTAAGTACCATAATGCATTCTAGTACAAAAAGTAAAGCAAAGATAAATCAGGAAATAATTAAACTGTAAGAAAAACAATACAAAAATAGCAGAGGAACAAGAAATAGTTTAAAAAATAAAGTTAATGGAGATTAGAACATTGAAATATGCAACAGCATCAGATCCTAGTTCTTTATATTTTGATAGGTTCCAAATTTTCAAGCTATCATTCAGTATTACATTCATATATTTTCCCCTTATTTATTAGACCACAATTTACAATCTTCTGAATTTTAAACCAAAATGATTATAATGCAGAGAAGGATCAAAACCTGCAAGTCTAAATTCTCAATTATTAAAGCTTTAACTGTTGGTGGTTTGATCAAACACATACTGCAACTCCTTAATCCAAATGACATGCAAGTTACCCTTATCTAGTTTTGTACAATTTTTCAGTTGTCAATAAAATGAAACTTTAAGAAGTTTAGGAACTTCAAGTTCAGCTAGCCCAGGGGTCTGGAATCTTAAACACTCAAAGAGCCACTTGGACCCGTTTCCCAGAGAAAAGAAAACACTGGGAGTTGCAAAACGTGCGTGCGCAGGTACGCGCAAGGGGGGCAAAACTTGATTGAAGAGTTTAATTAAAAAGAAATAGAGGCTGCTGTGCATGAGTTCTCTCTCTCTCTCTCTCTCTCTTTCTCTCTCTCTCTCTCCCTCTCCCTCTCCCTCTATCTTTCTCTCCCTCTCCCTCTCTCTCTCTCTCTTTCTCTCCCTCTCTCTCTCTTTCTCTCCCCCCCTCTCTCTCCCTCTCTCCGATCTTCTGCTCACCTGGCAAGCTGGCTTCAAGCTGTTCTGCAACATGCTGGCTCTCTCCTGCCCTTCCTGCTTCCTGCAGAGATGTAGCCAAGGCAGGAGCCCCGCCCAATAAGCTTGTCAGCTCGTTGGAGAACAGGGTGAGGCCACTCTCTTTTTTACACACACACACACACACACACACACANAGAGAGAGAGAGAGAGAGAGAGAGAGAGAGAGAGAGAGAGAGAGAGAGAGAGAGAGAAGGAAAGCGCAAGTGCCTCTGTCTCTCTCTCTGCAAATGGCAGAGGAGGCTGGGAGCCGCAGGAGAAGGCTCAAAGCTGCATGCGGCTCCAGAGGTTGCTGACCCGTGAGCTAGCCCATCAGGCCCAAATTGTCCAATAGACAGATGTTTCTGTTATGTACTCTTTGTGGCTCCATTGATCTGGTGAAGTGATTAAAGCTACTTTATGTCTGTATAGAATATGTGGACCAGTACTTATCTGAGAAATTCTAGTGTAAGAAATTTGATTCAATCTTTATACAATTCCCTTCTAAGATGTGATCACACTTCATTGGAAGTAGAAAACAGTATCTAGAGAAGGTGTCATATTATGTAACTATATCAAGAAATAATATGTGTACATGAGTAAAATACAGCCTGGGAGTATGTGGTGTTGTCTCTGTGTTTTCCTATCTGTACTTGTGACCCTTGGTTTGGTGTTTACTTTCTTTTATTAAATAGGATATGAAGAAAGAAAAAGCAATTTGGCTGGAAGGAACTATGCCTGATCATAGCCAGGCAGCACTTCCCATGTCTCAATGGATGAGGGAAAAATTCAGATCAGATCTTTCTGCAAATGAAGAAGGTGAGTATATCGATAAATGTTTACAAGTCCATGTTTTTTTTTAATAAGCTTCTTGTCTCTGCCTAGGAGAAATAATTGATGCCCCTAATTACGATAAATTATTTTGGCCCTGTGTTTGAAAATCTTGTTCTGTCATTTGATCTCCACCACCCACCACCCAGCAGGATCACCTTACACAGGTTCTTTGAGCATGCTCCCCAAACCCTGGAATCATGTGGCTGTTCTCAAGGCCAAATTCCATTACAGGAAGCCCCAAGGAATCATGCCTGTTGCATATCAAGAAGGACCTGATTAGATTGCACTGTTTTAATGCTGATCAAATGTTAGGGTAGAGAAGGCAGCCCAGTTTAATGTTAAAATTAGCTACATCTCACTCAGTCCAGCATGATTTACAGAAGAGACCTGCTTCTGTATATACTGGATCTTTCTAGTGATTTTGGGGCCCAGCTGGAGATGAATATAATAGTATCCATCTGAACCTGCACCAAGTGGTATCCCGAATGGGGTTTAATGGCCCAGGATATGTTGGCTCCATTTCTGTTGCTGCTGGGCAGTTATTTCCAGTTTTAATTTATGGTCTAATTGGAACGTTTTGTGGATTTTATTGGAAGACAGTAGTGCATATAAAAGAAGACTCTTCTTTCTTTCGTCACTGAAAGGGATTATAGACTTAAAATAACATGTCTGGGCTGCAGGAGTAGAGCCCCAAATAGATATAAGTGGCCAGTGTTCATGGGAAATTAATTGCCACTTGGTGTAACACCATAATAGACCCTTGGTCTTAAGAGGAAGGGGAACCCTACAAAATAGCTTCTTGCAAGTACGTGACTTGGTCTACCCAGATCTCTGCCCCTATAAAACAAAAAGTGGGATAAAAGTGGGATTCAGTGAGAAGGTGGTCAGTGTGTAATGCTCATAATCTGTCTTTCCTTTTTGCTCTTTCCTTTTGTGAACCAGATTTGGATGAAGAGGAGGCCTCATCAAAGACATCAGGAATTAGATCACCAGATACAAAACCTATGAAAGACTATTGTCCATGCTTCCTGGGCTTCCTGACTACATCAGACTTGGAATGTTCTCTTTGTATACGGTCAGTTAATTAAAGGCATAGTAATAAGAGCTGCTGGGGAAAGGGTTTTGAGGTACAAATTGAGTATGAGGTATCTTCTTATGGTTCTAACCAGTGGTGGGATTCAGCCAGTTTGCACCACTTCGGCAGAACCGGTAGCTAATTTTTTGTTGCCCAGGCCCAGAACGGACTTCTGGAAGCAGCATCCACACAGAGAACCGATTGTTCACATATTTGAATCCCACCACTGGTTCTAACCAATAGACTTCTGAAAAAGCCTTGGGGATAAACTCTCTCCTTATTTGTTGAAGAGTAAAGAACATGTTTTGAAAGGTATTTGCATTTCCTCTTGGTATATTAAATACATCTATTTAAAGTAGTATTCAAAATTATATACGTTTTTGTAAATAGAAAAACCATAAAAACATAATCTGTATATTCTTACTCATGCTAAGATCCAGTGTATTTTGTTGGACTGCTTGCTAATCATGTGCAAGAATGCACACTCAGGTTTTCACCAGTCAGAAATGAGACACTCCTCGTAGGAAACACGAAGTGGTACCCGACTGCATGGTATGATATCAGAAAGTCTTTTTTAATTGTTAAAAAAGAGGGAAAAATAGTGATGGTTACATACTGAAGTTTTTGTTAGAAGTACAGCTTAGCATTAGAATTTAAAATAATAATTTCAACAATCCAAAGAGTTAAACATGTGGCTGGTTAGGACTGGTTTACATAAGACTAGCCCTACCATGAAGCTTAAGGATCTCATATCACAAATATTTGATAGAAAAGTAAGGCAAAATGAGCTTGCTTGCAAAACCCTCCACCTCTGGTCTGATGTGGTTCTTGCCCTCTAAATCCTCTCCCCAGTTGTAATGGTATGGGTGAAAGACCTTGAGACATGGGGCAAATAAATTATGCCTAGGTCTGAAATGCAAAGGGGAGACTGGAAGATATTAAACGGACATGCAGACCTCAGTGCCTGAACATTTACTGTGGAAAGGCTGTGAGCAAAAACCAAAACTGGGTTAGAATGTCGTGACACTATTCAGTACAATAAAGGGATGGGTGTCTGAAAAATAAGTCCAGACAGAACTTAATAGAGGACTTCTTTGACCTCTGAAATTGTTATCCAACTCAGTGTGCCAGTGTAATGTCTTTTGCAGAGTGGTACTCTTTTGTAATGAACTGAAATTTGTTTCATTTGAAGATGTATATTCCAAAGAAAGTAAGAAAGGAGGGGTCTTCGGCAGTTAACCGTAATTGATTTATTTTGCAGAATATATATTTTATGTGGAAAATAGAAACACTGGCTGTATCATACAATGGCCCAGTGTGATGGAATTGGAGTGGAACAATTTGGGGACTGGTATTGAAAAAATAGAGAAATTGTAGAACAATGGTTTTTTTAAACATAATTCTGTTTCACAGTGTGGGTATTGTAGTTTTTTAATGTTAGCATTGGAAATTGCAATCACGTGACCATTGCAATGTCATAATTGTGAGCCAGGTCTGCAACAGCCACAATTTTGTGGACTGGTTGTAAGTTTCCCTTGTTCAGCACCATTATAACTTCGAATGGTTATTGAATAGGTGGTTATAACCCAAGGACTATCTGTAATTGTCAGGTGTATTAGGAATCTTAGCGTTCGACTCTTGGAAGATGATTCAGTTAAAAGTAAATCTTCAAGAAAGATTCACAAAGTCTTTAACAGGATATGTTGATTTAGACTTACAAGAGTTTGAGCACTCAATACTTTTCACTTTAGAACCAATTTATCTTATCTTACATTGTGGTGGAGACTTTTTCAATTTCTTTGCAACTTCTCTCTTGTGAACCAGGAAGAAGGCGTTTATTTCAAGTTAACACAGGAGCTTGCTGTTTACAAAACCGTCCACCATTGCAAAAGTTTTCTTCTCATTCTGTAAACTGATTATTATGTTTTCCATCATGTATTTCCCAAGAAAGCAACATATTTCTCTTGGTATTATTGAACTGTGATGCAGCTAGAAAGTTTTTAAACTCTCTTCTGCAAAATCCTTTAAGTCTGGCAAGAACTTAATGAGATTCCATGAGAGACTCAGAACAAAGTTCACTTGAAGGCAGTCACTTTATTGCCAGAACTTTGCTCCTAGGAATAATAACAACACAATTATTTTAATTAACAGGCTCTACGGTCATGAAAAGGCTAAGAAAAACCTGATTTATACTATTGTCAATCTCATGAATATTCAAAAATTCAAATAAAAAGCATCTACGACTGTCCAGCCTTTGCATCAACAAATCCTGCAAAAAGGGGTCCATTATCTTGCTATTGGTTTTGCTCTGAACACAGTATTCAACCAGAATCTTTCTTCTTATCATTTATCTAATTATTCCATCTCCCATTCTCTGGGATAGTAGAATACAAATCATTCTTCTGAGGGATGCTGAGACGTATGATAATATTTCCCTCTGGTCATAATTTTCTTTCAAACTGAACATGTTCAGGCTCCTAAGTTTCTTTTCCTAGCACTTAGTTACTGGTTGCCCAATCATCCTCATTGCTCTTCTCTGAACTGTTTCCATTTTATCTTAAATCAGGTGCCTGGAATTGGAGACTGTCTTTGAAATGGAGTCTGATCAGAGCAGGGATCTGTTGTCATTTTGAAACCGAAGCTTCTTGCATTTACCCTTTTTACCCCCTATGTCAAAGTTCTAATTCATATTTAGCTTGTAGTCATCATTTCCTCAAGTATCATTACCAAGCTAGGTAATAACTTCATGCTACGCCTTTGCATTTGAGATCTAAGTGAAAAACTCAGCCTTTGCCTCTGCTGAATGTTATGCTGTCATTTTCCATTCATTTCTTTAACCTGTTAAGATTATTCAGAAATGTACTGCTGTCTTATTAGGTATTGACATTCCCACCCTGATTTGTGTAGTCTATAAATGTAACAAGCATTCTTTCCATCCAGGTCACTAATGGAAATGTGCAAGAGTACTGAGCCCAGAGCCAAACTCTGTGGCATCCCATTTCAGTTTGAGGCAGAACATCGGTTGATGAGCATTTCTTGAATTCTTTCCAGCCACCTAATAGACAGGCCATCCATCCCATACTTAAGTAGCACGCTAATGAACATGTCAATGCCCAACGAGAGATGGTCTTTTTCTCTGCAGTATGTTATATGAACCTGTCACCACCCCATGTGGCCACACTTTCTGCAAAGAGTGTATGGAGCGTTGCCTGGACCACCGACCCAACTGCCCACTTTGCAAGCAAAGCCTGGGAGAGGTAAGAGGGAAAAAAGGGACAATTTTCTGTTGTTCGCCTTCAACTGCTGGGTGCTTTTGTTTATGTAATCAAGGAAAAGGAGAGGACAACCAGTTCTGTAGTCCCAATGCTTTTGAAGAATATTAAATTTTGCAGTTTTTGCAGTTTTTCAGGATTTGCAAATTGGTAGATATGTTCTTCATCCTTGACTTTCATTATTGACTAGTGGTTTTTTGTTTTTTGTTTTGTAATAAAAGTGACCTTGATTAAGATAGAGTTTCTGTGTTTCTGATGTGTATGAAAGCACATCTCCTGGCAGGTACAAATATTACAGCAATTTGTTGGTTTTCTTTTGATCTAAGCTGGCCAGAGTCGCCTGGTAGCAAAATGGGCAGCATACAAATTTAATAAATAAAATAAATTAGCTTCAGTATTGAAAATAATTTTGTATACAGTAAGTCATAAGAGTTAGCCATAGTACTTTAGACTATCTCATAAAAATGTTAGGCTCCTTATCAAGTGCTGAATCAAACAGATTTATTAATTATTGACAGGTATTAGCAAGAATTAGTGCAAACCCAATTTTGTATTTGGCATCAGATAATGAACATTACATACGGACAGGTGCTCAGGGTGGGATTTCCAGAGGAAAATATTTGCACATGGCTTTCAGTGGGTCACCTGAGCCACAGTTTTATTCTTTGGGAAGATACTTTGTTGAAAGGGGATTTCAGTTCTGTGCAATTCAGAACTGGATTTTGAAAAAAAACCCACCTCTGCTCTTAAAAACTGGCTAAGTACAAAAGAGGAACTCGGGGAGCAGATTGTCTTCTGCTGAATGCTTTCAATCTTCCATTCTACAAAAGATGTACGTTGTATGTGTAAAATATTTTGATTCCTTCCAGTATCTGAGAGCTGGAAAATACATGACTACCATTCTGCTTGAAGAATTGATGACTGCAGTCTTCCCCTCACAGCTGGCAGAAAGGAAACTGGTCCACCAAGCTGAAATGGTAGAACTTTCAAAGTAAATATGAACCTTTTGGCTGCATATTTCTATGTGTAAAATCCTGGAAGCAGAAAAGTTATTTTACAGCAATTGGAAAGTATATTTGACAGTTTTATTCAGTTCTTCTTAAACGTAAGCTTGCTACAGTTAGGAAGATCACTCCAGGTCCCTTTTTAGCAAGATGAACTGGTTTCCCTAACTTCATTCATTGCTGTTTATTTCAATTATTGATCAGAAACAATTAATTATCTTCCCCGGCACTTTTAGCATTTTCCAGCATTTAGAAGACCGGTGGTGTGTGTTTTTTCTCCCTCTCTCTGTGTTTTCATACATTCATCTACCATAAGGTAAGCTTTAGATAACCCAACAATCTTTTCATAGTGATCATAAGTTATTTGTTTATTCCTTGGCCCCCCTTCCTCCATAACACGTGCCTCACACCTTCATGTCTTCAAGCCTTTTTCTCTCTGTGTCTTCTTTAATCTGATATCAGAGCTCTACTGGCAATTCTCCCCATGCCTTATTCCAGGAATACCTGTAAGTTTGAATAAACCCATTCAGAGAAATACAGCTCTCTTTCTATAAGGGGAGGGTCCAAATGATGATGAATGTCCCTAGCAATGCTTGATGGGACAGATGAACTAGATAGTGGGTTTATAGAACACAACGTTTGGGCGATCTTTAGAGTTCATGGAAGAAAATGGGCACACAAATCTAATAAATATATGGCTGGTTGGTAGATTTAGTAGTCCTCATGCATTTTTTTTTATCTTTTTGAGCCAGCATGAAGGGTTCACCTCAGTATCCTTGTGTTCATGCATAAAAGTTATCCAGCGGTATATTCTACTCTAAAATCCTCCCGTTGATTTTTCAAGTTCCTACACACAGTCCTTTTGTTGATCATGGTCTTCCCCCCTACTTTCTTTTACAGCCTAAACAAGAATATCCCCATCTTTGTGTGCACCATGTCATTTCCAGGTCTTGTATGTCCTCTACATGTGTTTGAACCTCGCTATCGACTCATGATGCGAAGATGTCAGGAGACTGGCACAAAGATGTTTGGCATGTGCATGTATGACAATGGAAAAAAGTAAGTGACACGGAAGACCCAGGGCTGCTCAGACTTTTTAAAACTTCGGTCTAAGCAGAGGTTGAATCCCCACAATTTGGGGGTTGGTTGAATCAATAGATAGTAGAACCATTCTAAGAAAAACACATTTAACTTTGTTTTCTGAAATTCTATACATGGGTTCTACTTGTTACTGGGAGGCAGAGTCTCATCTCCCGATTGTAACCGAATGCTCTCTTCCTCTTCCTTCTCTCCTACAAAACTTAGATTTTTAGAGAAGTGAAGTAGAAAACTCCACTGAGCTTCATAAAATCAAGTTGCAAATCAGCTTTCTTTGATAGATGCCAATGATTAGGAGGAATATAATCAGAATCTTAAATAAATAAACGAAGGGATATTGATCTGTTTCTTTGCTGGTATCTTTTTTACATGTTAGCCTGCACTTAATGTTTATGAATGGCAGGTAGAATAGAGATGATCACCTGGTCTTTCCCTTGATGTTTGTTCACTATGCCAGCTCTGTCTCCAACATCTGCATATTGAATGCAGTCTATCGCTTGTGCAGGGTGACTTTTTGCAGTGTTTTGTGTGCTCACAGCGTAAAAGGAAGGAACCTGTGCATCTGGTTGAAAATGTGATTATTTGAGACTATGCAGGAGTTCAAGAAACATGTTAAAAGTGTGTTCTTTATATACTTTTGCTGGATATGCGGTAAATGTAAAGCCTAAAAGGTAGAACTTAAAAGTTTTTCTTGTTTGTGAAATGCTAGAGTCAAATGGGTACAAATGAAAGGGAATCTGTGCCGGAAAGTTATTCCAGTATTTGATAGTGTTTGAATTTTAATTTAATTACATTTAAATTGTATTGTTTTTGAGTTTGGGTCCTCGTAGGCCATGCCATTCAATTCAAAGCATTGGCATAGTAGCATCCCACAGGTTATACAGCACAGCAGAACTGGAAAAGAAGAACTGTAAATATGAAACTTCCTTCTGTCCTGCATTAATAAGCTTGTCTCTTTTCAGCTTTGCTGACTATGGCTGTATATTGGAGATTCAGAAAATAGCATTTTTTCCTGACGGACGATCATTGGTGGACACTATAGGCAAGAGGAGGTTTCGAGTTTTGAGACGAGGGCATAGAGATGGCTACCACACTGCAGATATTGAATATTTGGAAGATGAGAAAGTGAGTAGTCGTTATATGAAGAGTAATAGCAATAGCACTTAGATTTATATACCGCTTTATAGGGCTTTACAGCCCTCTCTAAGTGGTTTACAGACTCTGCATATCACCCCCAACAATCTGGGTCCTCATTTTACCCACCTTGGAAGGATGGAAGGCTGAGTCAACCTGCCGAACTGCAATGTCCTAAAGATCTGCCCAAAACAAAAGGAATGATATGCACAGGGTGTCACTTAATATAGGTAGTTCTCTACTTACAGTCATAATTAAATTCAACATTTCTGTTACTAAGTGAGACATTTGTTAAATAATTTTTACCCCATTTTACAACTTTTCTCGCCACAGTTGTTAAGTGAATCACTGCAGTTCTTAAGGTAATCATACGGTTGTTAAGTGAATCTGGCTTCCCCATTGACTTAGCTTGTAGGAAGGTAGCAAAAGGGGATCACGTGACCCTGGGACACTGCAACCATCATAAATATGAGTCAGTTGCTAAGCATCCGAATTTTGATCATGTGACCATGGAGATGCTGCAAAGGTTATAAGTGTGAAAAATGGTCTGAAGTCCCTTTTTTCCATGCCGTTGTAACTTCAAATGGTTTCTAAACTGTTGTAAGTCGAGGACTACCTATAATTTACAGGTGTTAATGATTTATTGAGTTTGTATTTCACCTTTCCACCAAAAGATGGCATTCAAGGTGGTAATAAGTAAACAGATACTAAAATGAACAAATTTAACATAGCTGAGCTACAAAATAATTACTTGAACCATGCCTACTCTTGTTGGATCTTATAGGACCGATGGTAACGATTGGAGATAGATTATTCAATTTGGCCCTCTGCTGTTTTTTTCATTGATAGTTTGGTGCAGTAGATGTATAAAACAAGTAGAAAAACCTATCATATTGATTTATCGGTCTGCACTTTCAAATGATCCCTCACTGTTAGAAGAAAAAGCACTTTTTAAAATGTCTCTGTTCTTAGAGCATTGTGACAAAGTTAGGACAATCTCTGCACCCCACCCAAATACAGCATTAATTCTTTGATTCATTGGTTAAAATAGTCACTTGCCAAGCTGGAACTTTCTTTGATAATGTACTCATGCATAGCTTCTATTCACCTTGCTTCTTTTAGTAAGAAAGACCGTTCTTCTGGCAACTACCAAACGAGTCCATGTCTGCCTTAAGAAGAGTCTCTTTTCTTTAAAGAAGCCTTGGCAACTGAAATGCATCTTCCTATCTCCTCCTCCTGCTCCTCTTAATGGCCTGTGCACTAGCCTGCTTGCCCCAATATTTGCTTTCTATCCCATCCTTCTGCTCAGCTGTCACTATTGCCAATAAGCTGGACTCGCACCTGTTCTTTTTTGCAATGACTTCAGTAGTAGGGAAGAAGCATCTGGCCTGTCCCCATTGTCCAAGGACCTTCCTTTCCCACTAGGCTGAGAGAGTTTCCTGAAGAACATTTCCTTCTCTTATTTCCCACCCAAACCAATTCTGCATAGAATAGCACATTTCATTCTGTGTATGGAGCAAAACATCCAAGTGCATGTTTCACTTTTGGCACAGACCACTCAAAACCAGGTTTTTTTTCAAGCATACAATATTTTACATATCCCTGCTACATGGCAACCACATTTGAGTTCTACTTGGTTGTTAGGTTTTCTCCCCCACAGTCTCTTTTGATCTCAACTGTTGTTCAAATTCTTTCTTTTTTACTTTAAATATGCTTCATTTTGCTTGTTTTCAACTTCTGACTTTGTGATCTAGATGGAAGGAGAAGAACAGACGGAGCTCCAGAATTTGCATGATTGTACCTATGAGCTAACCCAGAGATTTTATGAACATGGGGGCAGAACATTTAGACAGCTTGTGATGCATCATGGACCACTTCCTGAAAAAGAGGAAGACATACAGGTATTGAGACTTGTTCTCCCCAGGAATATAAAATAATCTGCAGGGGAATGAGATCAGACAAAAGGGATATATAACTGTCAAATATTATAACAATAAAGATACTCAGATTTCATTCTAATTTGGAGGAGAATATAGAGGATTCCCAGTCTTTGGAGGGTTGCAACAATGTGTTAATTATCCTGTGTTGGCATGGATTCTATTCTGATAGCCTATTGCAGTAAATTAGATAAACTAGGTGCCCACAGAGTTAAGCCATGTTGACCATTTATTGATTATGTGCCATCAAGTTGTTGATGAATATAATGTAGTGTAGTGTAGTGTAGTGTAGTGCAGTGTAGAGTAGAGTAGAGTAGAATATAATATAATATAATAGAATAGAATAGAATAGAATAGAATAGAATAGAATAGAATAGAATAGAATAGAATAGAATAGAATAACAGAGTTGGAAGTGACTTTGGAGGTCTTCTAGTCCAACCCCCTGCTTAGTGAGATAGAAATACTATTTCTTAGATACATGAGCCATGTCATATTTGGTGGTGTTCCATGGCACACGTAGGGTTTTTTTTAAAAAAAATCTTGTGTTCATACTCTAAGTTTAAAAAAAAGAAGCACATCACAACAGATAAATAAATGCTATGCAGCCATTCGTATCTTGTCTTCATTTGTCCTCTCTAGAATCTTAATGCTGCATTTCTTAATAGATATCATAGAAGCCATTTTTAAAATTATTTTCTAGGAATTAAATTGCCTTGAATTTCAGATTTAGGTTCATGTATGTAAATGCCTTCTGCCACCTGCCTTCTGTACAGTATAAGTTGAATGAATTAAAACAACAATTCCCTGAAATCAAACTCAATGTCCGATGATTATATGGACCCATGGAATCCATGAAGTTTTCCTGGCAGGAATGAAAGTTATTTTCTATTACTTTCTAGGATGTGTTGTTGATTTCTTAGACTTGCTATTGCCCTGGGATTTCCAGTAGTATCCCATCCAAATACTATGCAGGTCTATTATCACACATTTTTTTCAAGATCAGCCAAAGAACCTAACAAAATAAGTTAGCAGTTTAAAATGTTGCATTTTGTACATTCATACAATTTTTTTAAAATGTATTTTTACCTATTTGACTAGATAATGCCCTTTAAATGCAGTCCATAGTATTAGATTACCATAAGGCTCAAACCATTCATGATATAGTCTTAGAAATGCTGCCTTCCCAAGTAAATAACGTTAGACATACTGCATTATCATAACTATCCATGTATGTTTTTCTTTCTACAAGCAGTTAGATAGCCTTAAGATAACTTTGTACTTGAACATCATAATTCTCCAGGAGTGTAGTAATAAACAAAGTTCAGCTGCGAAGTAAATTTAGCTTAGAATTAATTAACCCATTCATCTCACTTTTCTGTCTAAATAAATTAATTAAAGGAATTATGACCTTGGGTTGCTGGAACCTGCAAACCTTTCTCCTCAAGTAATAAGTGAGACTTAACAGCTCTAAAAGAAATATTGCTTCTTTGGGGCTTTTTAAAATAAGGAAGTTTTGGGCTCTGTTTTAAAGACTAGAAAGGACGTGCTACTTTGTACAATTTCGCCATGGTGACTATTTTAAATATTTCAGTATTAAGTTACTATTACATTAGCACAGTGTTTCTCAACCTTGACAATTTTAAGGCATGTGGACTTCAACTCCCAGAATTCCACAGCCAGCAATGCTGGCTGTGGAATTCTGGGAGTTGAAGTCCACATGCCTTAAAATTGTCAAGGTTGAGAAACACTGCATGATTAGCAACATTAATTTAAGATATTAGTAGGTTGTATTAATATTACACCATATCATTTATTAGTTGCATGAATAATTTAAAGAATTGCCATTGCTATAAAATTCTTAGAATGGCATGCGCTTAAGAATATTATATTAATAACCCATAAAAAGAAGTGACGCACACAGAATGGATAGCATAAAGCTGGCAACATCTACAGAGCCATAATGTTAAATTAAGGCAACTTATAATATGAAGCAAAATGCCTGAACAACTGGATAATAGTCTTGAGTTTGGTCTAAAAAGAATAACAAAATTAATATCAGCCATGTTTTATCCAGTACCTTACACAGAAGTGCCATGAAGAAAGAAGAAGCAAGTTTTTTTTTTACTTCAGTCATCACCCAAGTAACCTTGCATTGTCTGAGAAGGGTCCTTTGATGAAGATGGCAGCAGCACTTAGCTGCCCTTGAAAAAAGATAAGCAGTGTTGCTCCTGGCTTGTCCTTGGGGGGTAGACATATTCACTACAGGGGACAGGACCAGAACAACATTAAACTACAAGACAGTTGTAGGCTAGGTATCAGGCTAAGTCAGGGGTAGGCAACCTTGGCTCTTTTATAACTCGTGGACTTCAACTCCCAGAATTCCTGAGCCAGCTGGCTCATGAATTCTGGGAGTTGAAGTCCACGAGTCATAAAAGAGCCAAGGTTGCCTACCCCTGGGCTATGTGTTAGGAGGGACTTCCTGACTGCCATATGAAAGTTTGAGTGCTTCTCTATTAGAAGTCTTTAGAGAGGCTAGAATCTCGGCTCTTTTATGACTCATGGACTTCAACTCCCAGAATTCCTATGCTGGACTATGCTGACTCAGGAATTCTGGGAGTTGAAGTCCATGAGTCATAAAAGAGCCGAGGTTGCCTACCCCTGGGCTAGATGATCATCTATGAGACATGCTTTACAAGGAGAAATGGTTCTAGGTGAGATGACCTCTCCTTCAAACTATGCGACTCTAAAATTCCACGGCTGTAACTGGACTGAGAAGCTGAAAAACATCCTAGAGGAAAGTAATGGCAAGTCACATATCTATTTCTGCCTGGAAATATGTTTTCCTCAAGTATTTAATTTCCTGTCTGCAAAAAACTGAATCAAGCCTTATCTACTTTTCATTTCTAATTACTTTCAGTTTCACCTCCTAAAAATGTTCCTTCTAAGGCATCTATGGTATCCCCAACACGTGATTATTTCCATTCATTATTCCTTAACTAAGGTTGTATTATTGTTTTCCAAAGTCTCAGTCTTTAAAATAAGACATAAAATCAAAATCTGAATTAAATCAGAATTATTAAAAACAAAACAAAAATGTAATTAGACTAAACAGTTAAAGGCTATTTTAAGAGGCTTGCTTAGGATCTTTTTTTAAAAAAACTTGCAAGCCAATTAGGGTTTTAACAAATAATTGCACTCTGGGCACTTGTAGTTTATGGCAACAATAGTCACATTTCCTCTAATGACTTTTACCATGAGGAATCTAAATATAGAAAAAAGTATACTTTCAAATAACCTGGATTTAGGCTATTGAAAATCACCACTCAGAATGAAAGCCATTGAAAAGTGTTAGGATAAGTGCAATATGGCCTCTTGAATTCTGTGAAAGACCAGCCTATATTTTGAATTATGTAATTTTTTTCCAGACTACACACAAAGGCAGCTCATCTAATATAATAAATATTATAGTAATCAAACTTGGAGGATATTACAATGTGTACCATAGTTCCATAGTCATTTTCTTCTAGGAAATGATGGAGTTGATGTATAAAAGGTACTTTTGACCATGGCTTCATTCTAGGAAAACAGAGAAAGAGTTTGGATTCAGCAGTATTCCCACTGCATACTGCATATTCTCACTTAGAATATGATTCCATTGGGACCACTTCTGAATGGAACTGTTTTTCACTGTTTTTCAGAAACTGTGACCTTTTACACTGAGTACCTTCAAACATTATTTGTCTGTCAGTGTCTTCAGCCTTAAAGAAATAGATTTGGGTCTCACCAAAACACTGAGAGGACTCAACTCCATACTTCATGATAATTTTATGTAGACACAGAAAAGAGAAAGAACAGAGCACTGACAGACACCATGCAATAACTCTATTTCTAGGAGCAACTCAAGTATTTGCAAGGGACACCATTTGAAGTCAATCTGAGAGATGGAAACCCATGTCAAGCAGTGCCTTTTATTCCCAGCTCTCCTAGGCATTCTAAAATTGATCAACAGCATTGAAGGTTCCTAGGTATAATGTATATGACCTTGAGGAAAGAGACAAAGAGATGCTTGCTAGGAAACAATTAGACAAGAGAGGCAGGAGCCCCCAGTGACTTAACTGTTGAGAGAAAGAAACTTAGAAAGGACTCTTTCCAATGGTTAAGCAGTTAAAAGTGTTAAAAGTGTTAAAAGTGTTGGCAAGAAGTTTGTACTTTCAGACATGCAAGAATCTGTTAATGTAGCCTTATAAACCTTAAAATTTGTTTATTTGTGTTTCCTGAATGGTTTACCTGGGAGATCAAGAAGAACCAATAGTATCACATGTCTAGCTAAAGAAGTCTCTGTTGCTTAACTGGTAGGCTAATAAGTCAGGATTAATCTGTTCTTTTAGGGCTGCTCATTTTCTCAGTCACATTAGAGATTAACTTCTAATTGGTAATCGCCAAAGGATACAAGTAGTCTAATCACTGCTGCCTTCTCCTCCTGGCAGACATTTATAATGAACTAATAATTCCTGACTATAAGCTACAAAACAAGTTGAGCATGGATTTAAGGACAAGTGGTGGATATATCTTTATTTTGTGCAGCTCATAGTAGAATAATGTTCCCTCCTGTTTTCCCTGTAACAATCTTGTGGAATGTTTGGGATGAGAGAGAATGACTGTCCCAGAGTTACCAGCTACCATGCTTAAGGGAGGACAGGAATGTGTGGCATTCTGGTTTCTAGTCCAGCATCTTAACCATTACACCAAACCACTCCAGCAAGTCTGTTCATGTCCTGTGTCATGAACTGAAACGCATCAAGAAAAGAAGCTATCAAACAGCCCCATACTAATTTTGCATCTATGGTGTCATCAAGAGTACCTCAAATGTGTGAGATTTTGATCAGCTTAAAAAAAAATCCAGTAAAAGAATCACAGTAAGATTCAGAATCCTGTAATCAAGCTTTAAGAGAAGATGCCAGAGAAAACAACTTAATAGATGATCATCTTGCAGATACAATATGTGCAGGCAAAAATAGCCCCTTCAATTGCATATATCACCAATTGGATCCAATAGCCAGCTCATCCTAACAGCTTCAGTGGCCTTAAGTGAGATCCTGATTTTAAGTTCATAGTGATCTGTCACATGATGATGAGGGGAAAATGAGACGCTTCCATAGGTGACCTATTTCTATGATTGGAAATGAAAGATCAAAGGCAGAATCCATTTTCTGGGTTCACAAAATGGATTAAGCCACAAAACAGGCAAACAGACTAGATTTGCTCAAACAGTTTGTTAAAAAAACAAACAAACCAAGCTTACCATGTTGTGAATTCAGACACTCAGTTTTTAACTAACTTGATTCAGCATGGTTGATGAATGCAGCTCATATCAATGCACCAGTGGGTGATTGCTTTGCCACTTAATTTACATTGTATCATTAAATATATGCTGTCACATAACATCTATCAGTGTAACATTTGGGGCATTGTTCTGCTTCTACTCCTTAGTCTTCCTTGTAGGAGTTTAAAAAAAAATGATTTCTATTAACTTGAAAAGATTTGGTCACATGCTCTGTAGATAGTGACAAGAATTAAGTCTTCAGCTGATGAATAAATTTTCCTGTCACACTGTTCAACAAGGAATGTTGATGTGGTCAAGATTTTTCCACTCAAGTAGTTCTAGTAGAACCAATCTTGATTGATTTATTATGCAAAATGAGTTGATGTATTTTCTGTTATCTTCTCACTAGGCATTGCCAGATGGACCAGTTTGGTGTTGGTGGCTTATATCTGTCTTGCCCCTTGAGTTGACCCACAAATTGACTATTTTTTCTGAAACTTCCCTGAAGGCACGACTTACCCAACTAAAGCATATTCTGAACATTCTTCTGGAAAGTCGTGACTACAGCAACTAATATTTAGACGTGCCACAAGGATGTTTTAGATAACATAGAAGGCAGAGAAGTGGGCAGTTCCGGGGAAGAAATGGCAAACTGAAGACCGCTGGCAAAAAAATGGAACTGACAACCACAGAGGAGTGAACTGGTGAATTGACCAGCTCTTCATAATTCTTCTCCAGCCAAAGAGAGGATTTGAGATTGCCCACAAGTGCTCTATACAGTTGCTCCTCACAATGCCAGTGTGGTGCCCTCCAGAGGTCCTGGGACTGCAATTCCTAGAATTTCCAGCCATCACCGTGACTGGGAAATTCTACCAGTTGTGATCCCAGCACATCAAGTGGATGCCAAGTTAAGGTGGTCAAAGCCTTAACGTCTTTATTTCCCTTTTTATTGTGATTATTTTGTTACTGTAAAACTGACTTCAGCTATAGTCCTTGAGTGAGAACCCTGAAACCGTTCTGCAGTTGTAGCAAGATTTACTACAGTAGTATCTAGTAGTAGCAAGATTTTTTGAATGGGTTTTGGACTGACAGGGCTAGAAGATTCAGTAGTAAGATGAGAATTGTATTCAAGTGAACACATTTCTAAGCATCTTACACCCAGGAGAATAGGAAATAAAAGTACAAATGCTGGGACTTTCCTGAGAAATTTTGCCTTATATCACATATTGATGTCTGCATGGGACTATTCAACATATTCTTCAAAATGTATGATGTCCTTTCCAATTTAAGTAACTCACTGCTATTGATTGTAGGGTAAAAGCCAACTCAGAAATGAGTAACATGACAAAAGGGCTGATTTTCTTTCCTGTATTCTATTCTGATTGCTATTTAATGCTATTTAATTCCAAAAGGGATCAGTTACAATGATGTATGCTGCTGAAGAAGGTAGATTAGAATACTTCTATAATATGATAAGAAAGTTATAAAACCTACACTGTGAACAGATAACGTGTAGATGTTCAGGAAGTACAATGATTTCTCACCATTGCTAATGCTGTCTAGTGTTGGTGGGAGTTACAGAACATCTGGAGAGCTATACTTTCTCACCCATCTGAAGCAGACCGTTTTAAAGATTTAATTCACAGAAAATGCCTAAAGGGAAAACTGAAAACGAAAATGAAATTGTGGACAATTCCCATGGGATAAAGTGAATTGCTAGAGGACTAACTATGTATAATTCAGGAATTATTCTAGGTTTCAAGATGGCAGAGTATTCATCTGAGCCAATCTGCTGCATAATTGTACGTGCTGCTAGGCAAATTACCACGAATATAAAAAGTTGGATATACATGTATATAATATGAACTGAGCACATGTACACATAAGTTTAGTATAGGGAATGTCTGACTAGTTCATGAAAGATCAATCATTTGTTCATGTTTAAGAAGACATGGGATTTTTAAAACAATAGTTGCTAAAATGATTGCTTTGTAAAATTTGCCAAAGATTAGAATTATTCTTAAATGAAATGTTTTTGTGCTCCAACACCAAGAATATGGATTCTGAGAATGAACAACACTGTACAATACAGATAGTCCTTGATTTATGACCATAATTGGGACTGGAACCTCTGTTGGTAAGTGATGCGGCCATACAATTTCCCAGTTTTATGATCTTTTTTGCAGCAATTGTTAAATGTATCCAACTTCCCCCATTGACTTTGCTTATTAGCAGCTGACTGGGAAGGTGGCAAGTGCGGATCCCATGACCCTGGGATCCTGCAACTGTGATAAATAAATGCCGGTTCTCAAGCACCCAAGTTACAGTCACATAACTGGGGAAAGTAATGGTTATAATATGAGGACCGGTCATAAATCATTTTTTAAAGTACAGTGGTAACTTCAGATGGTTGCTAAACAAAAGGTCCTAAATTAAGGAGTAACTGTATTCTTTTTTTTTTTTTTGCAGATTTTAAACCTGCTGTGATATATAGCTGGGTTGGCTTTTAATTGTATTTAAATTTGTACCTAATAGTGCGCCTGATAACAATATATTGACGTAATTTAAAATTGGCTTTTCTCTGCTAGTCAGAAAGAATTAAAATACTGTAGTAAGGCATATGCTACATTATTATTTAAGCTGCTGCTATCTTGTGCTACTGCTGGTTTGACTGTTAAGTGGTTTAAGAAAATGCTGTCCAGACTCAGATACTTTGTCAACAAATTGTAAAATATTCAATCTGGACTACAGGTTATCATGTCTTCCCATTGGACAATTCCTCTTGTGCCCTTCCACCTTTCTGTATCAGGCAAACAATGGCCATTTTTCTTTCTCTGGGTGGATCATCTTAAAGAGATATATTAAAAATATATCTTGGAGAGACTTGGACAGAGCAGAGCCAGGTTTTAATCCTTCTGTAGGTATAAAAACTGGGTCAATGTCTTTGGGCATCACTGTCAACTCACTCAGGAAATTGAAAACATCTATCTACCAATCCACAATGGCCAGTATGATGACTAATAACCTTCAATGAAGAGACCTTCATCCTGCAGTGAATTGCTTTGGGATAATATTACACACACACACACACACACACACCAAACAAACACACACATACATCCTAAAACATCAAAGGAGGAAGACTTTCACTCCAGCCTCTAAATGGCCTGTATGTTAATATGGCTACTTAATTGCTGAGTGTGAAGGTTTTCTACTTCAAATAACAAATTAATGAAATGGTGGAACTATTAATGAGAACAGATAAATAAATCAAATGGAAATGGGGGAAGCTTGGAAAAACCAACAGCTTTTAAAAAGTGCAGTTTTCTTTGAGGTGTCAAACCAGCAACATTGTGAATTAGCAAGACAATTGTTTCACTGATTATACTGTAGTTAACAGGATAACAAGAAAAGTTTGAAAGCTATTAGAACTAATGCTAAGGATTAGTTCAATTGAAGAAATGGTCCTTCCTCTGCAGAGTATCCAGTGAACTGTTGACCTTCAGCTGCAGCAAAGTAAAAGCATCTTGGCGCAAATAGAAAGGAACAATCGCACCAACATGGAGAAAAAATGTATATAATTTATGTTTTTTAAAAGTAAAGTTGGGGGGGGGAGAAATGGAAACGATATATTTTCTCCCATTAAGGTCTTTTGCTTGCCTTAAATTACCGCGTTGGAGGTTTTTTTTTGTACTATAAGGGAAGAGGAATTCAACTGCCAAATAAGGGGCATGTGGTCCATATGCTTTTTCCCCATTTTGCATTTTTCTATATTTATTTGGAACCGTTGGGATAGATTATAAATGTTGAATAGAATTTAGGTTTCTTTCAACCTTTATATCCTATCCTTGTGATAATAGGCATCTGATATTTATAGGGCATAATGGAGATTTAATAGATTTTTGGACTATTTTATCGTGCTACCACCAGCTGCTTATTTCTCTGCTTGCTTCCAGATGTCATCTTTATAACTCACTTGTGTTGAACTCATTCTTTTGTATATTGTGCCTCCTCAGAATAATGAGCTTCTCTAATTTAAAGATATAAAATGGTGTTGAAGGGATGGGGCAAAATTGCATGTTTGCAATTTGTATTTACTTCATGTGTTATGAAATAAAATACTGGTTGGAATTAAATACTCTTGTTTGCCTGGTCTGAAACATTGGTTCCTGCGAATGTAGCTATGCAGGACTGCACAATGATGATGAATTCAATCTGCCAAATCCTATAGCTGCTTGGAAAATATATGTGTCTGGAATCCTGGATCCAGAAAATTCTGGCTTCCTCAGTAAATGGCGGGGGGGAGGATTATTTATGTATATATATATACCAAATTTAGGAAAATATTTGCTTCTCTTTGCAACATGCACTATTGAAATAAAATTTAAAAAAAACCCCTACTGATAACATATACATTTTGCTTTGGTATTGTCAGACAGCCAAGGTGATTTGAGAAGTTTAATTTTAAATTTTAAATATTAGTAACTTTTAGTAATTGGTATTACTTGAATTACATAGGAAAATAAGCAAATCTTGGTTGTTTGTTTATTCCACAGACTTCCTGGCTGTGCCTGGTTTTAAAAGATAGGAATTTTGAAAAGTAAAAAAATAAGAGCAGTTGCCAAAAAAAGTTAGTTTAGTCCTAGGGTGCATAAACAGAAGGATAGAATCAAGATCACTGTCAACTCTACAAGGAACCTGGCCACAGCCATTCTTTTCGTTTTATGTTGCCACAAGAAGAGGAGATATAATAATAATAATAATAATAATAATAATAATATAATAATAATAATAATAATAATAATAATAATAATAATAATAATAATAATAATAATAATAATAATAATAATAATAATAATAATAATAATAATAATAATAAAGTTGGAAGGGACCTTGGAGATCATCTAGTCCAACCCCCTGCTCAGGCAGGAAACTCTATACCATTTCGGACAAATGGCTGTCTAGTCTCTTCTTGAAAACTTCCAGTGTTGGAGCATTCACCGCTTCTGGAGGCAGGTTGTTCCACTGGTTAATTGTTCTAACTGTCAGGAAGTTTCTTCTTAGTTCTAGATTGCTTCTCTCTTTGGTTAGCTTCCACCCCTTGCTTCTTGTCCTGCCTTCAGGTGCTTTGGAAAATAGATTGACTCCCTCTTCTTTGTGGCAGCCCCTGAGATATTGGAATACTGCTATCATGTCCCCCCCTCGTCCTTCTTTTCATTAAACTAGACATACCCAATTACAGCAACCGTTCCTTATATGCTTTAGCCTCCAGTCCCCTAATCATCTTTGTTGCTCTTCTCTGTACTCTTTCTAGAGTCTCAGCATCTTTTTTACATCGTGGTGACCAAAACTGGATGCAGTATTCCAAGTGTGGCCTTACCAAGGCATTGTAAAATGATATTAATACTTCACGTGATCTTGATTCTATCCCTCTGTTAATCAAAGAGAAAGTATTTCTAAACATGAGCAACTCTTGTGGGAACCAAGGTCATGCCCATGCCAGAGGGAAGGAAGAGGATTGATGAGTCAGAAAAGCCCGCCAAGGTGTTCTATTGGGTAGCCTGGATAGAGGGGTGGGAATTGTTACATTGTATTACTTTGCTCCTTGGAGGGAAAGTTTAGATCTGGTTTCACTTTTGAACATGCCAATAAACTTGTTCTTTGAGAAATTTCCCTACCTCTGAGTTCTGATTTATTTGGTCTCATTGATCGGAACCTTGACAATCACATGAAGTATCAGTACTGCTTTATACTTCTTTGGTAAGACCACACTTAGAATACTGCATTGGTCATCACATTATAAAAAAAATGTTGAGGCTCTAGAAAGAGTATAGAAAAGAGCAACAGAGATGATTAGGGGTCCGGAGGCTAAAACATATGAGGAACGGCTGCGGGAATTGGTTTTGTCTAGTCTAGTGAAAAGAAGAACTAGGGGTAACATGATAGCAGTCTTCCAATATCTAAGGGGCTCTCACAAAGAAGTGGGAGTGAACATATTCTCCGATGCACTTGAAGACAGGATAATAAAGTAAAAGATGGAAACATATCGAGGAGCGATCCAACTTAGAACTAAAGAGAAATTTCCTGACAATAAGAACAATAAATCAGTGGAAGATTAACTCCAGAGGTTGTGGGTGGTCCATCACTGGAGGTTTTTAAGTAGAGTTCGAATAATCATTTGTCCAAAATGATATAGGGTTTCCTGCTTGAGCAGGGGGTTGGACTAGAACACCTCCAGAGTTCCTTCCAATTCTGTTATTATTCCTTTTTTTGTCAAACTTTATTTGAGCAAACCATTTGTTGGTTCTCAGAAAGATGCACATCTATATATTTGCAAATCTATATATGCATATGAATTGCTTCAAGGCGTTACCTTAGAACACGGATGTCAAACTCGCCGCGTCACGTGACATGTTGCGACGTATCTCAACTTTTTTTGCATTGCTGGAGCTGGGGTAGGCGCGGCCTCCACATGATGCAACCGGCCCGCAGGCCGGCAGTTTGACACCCCTGCCTTAGAAGAACAGTATGCTCTTTTATTTATATATTAGCAGTGTTTTAATTACGACAAATAACAAGAATATAGAAATCACCTTCTGCAGTGTTTTCACATGGGAAGAAAACAAATGTAAATATGTATCGAGAAAAGAACTACAATACCAAATTAAATACGAATACAAGATCATATTTGGGGGATTTATTTATGTTAGCTTTTTGGCAATGAAAATCCTTTCCACTAGGTGTCAGTGTAAAACAAAGATGAACCCAAGACAAAAACAAAGAAAAATTAACTGTTCTAATGATCAAAGATCACGAAGAGATAAGAGGAAATTGGTGGTCTTCAAATGTTGCAGTATTGCTCCTCTCACCTGTCACCTTTGACTATGCTGATTCAGGCAGATGAGTTTGTTGTTCAACCACATTTGGAATCCTCAGATTCCACAGACATCAAAACCTATGGCAATAATGCTGTCTGCATGCCCTTAATTAACAACTTGCAGTTATTCAATGTTGAGTACTTAATGCAATACAGGCAGTCCTCCTTTAGTGACACTTGTTCAGCATTAGTGATTTGCTTAATGGCCACAACTGGAACTTCTGTTGTAAGTTGGTGCAGTCATGTGAATTTTCATGTTATGACTGTATTGTTTAGTAACAGAGTTATTGGTCCCAATTATGGTCATTAACTGAGGATTACCTGTATATCATACTTGGTTAGTTCTGGATTTAGCCATTCTTTGAATAAAGGCATTGAAACAAATGGGAAAAGTTAGTTGTGACTGGGAATAGAGAAAGGATTTCATGTAGTTACTATTTTAATGTGAGCTTGGATTTCAGAGGAATATATAGAGTCAAGTAGAGCTGACATTGCAGTGCAATAAAATGCAGAATGAACTGTGGCAAATAGACTGGCTCTTTGGAACCTCTCTAGACAAGGACAGGGCTTGCGATCACCCACACGTACTCCAGACAGCTGGTTCTCATGATGAGACCACAAGATAGAACTCTCTGGAAAGTTTAATGTTCAGGGAGGCAAGAGAATAGTCTTCCTCAAACTGCAGTCAAAACCTTTCAAACAACACTAATTTTACAAACTTCTTTCTCTGAATACTTTTGGAAATTACTAACTGCTTTTCAGCTATTAGAAACCTTTGGATTGACAGATTTAACAGCACCAGGTGAGTCTACTTCAATCCTTAGTGAAACAATGTTTTAATTACAAATTTTAGGACTTACTATTTTTTAATAAATAGCAAAAGTGTGATTAAGATTGTGATCTTAGAGGGTTTTGCAACCGGAGTACATGGTCACGTGAGAGCAGACCTCCGCTCCCCGCCGCTAGTTTCTTCCTGCTTGGGGGACCCTAGATGGTCCGAAGTTGCCCCGGAGAGGTGACCGTGAAGGAGGGCCACCCCATTGATCATGAAGCTACGGTAATCACTTCATTTGATCTGGGGAAAGCCTCCGAACCCGACAGGAGAAAGGCTAGCATGAGATCAGCGTCTAGCCCAAGCTGCTTACAGCTGAAGTCCCAGAGCACGAACCTAAACTTTGGTGAACAGCGTGCTTGGAATTGGTGAGAGTACTGATCTTCTTTCTTCTATCTACTATCTAAATCCTTGAAAAGATCCCCAAAGCAAGGAAACCTCCAGAAGTGAAGGGAGGGGATTGTATCCCCATTCCCTTACAGATGGAAGTGGCAAATTAATATTAAAGGAAAGAAGAAATATATTAAAATTTGATTTAAAATACTTCAGTCTGGACAAATTTAGGAAACTAAAAGACCATCAAGATTATATCCTAATTTTTTTTTGATGGAATTATAAAAATATATAACAAAAATAACTTTTTGATTGAAAGAAAAACTGAAAAAAGAAATAACTACTGGCATCTAGTGGAGACTCAGGGAATAGAACACTAACAATAAAGACTCAGAAATTGGCAGAGTGCCTAGAAACAAAGAAAAAGTTGTTCCTTTGAATTGCAAATAACCTTGAAGACAGCTGGGAACAAAGGAAGAGCCAGCTATAAGATTAAAAAGTGTTTGAAAGGGGAAAAAAACCCCACCTGGACTGTTGTTTAAATCTAAGAACTGTTTATGGAAAAGAAAAACCTTGGCTTTTTGGCTAATCTTTTAAAGGAGAATCTGTAGGAAGGATTTAAAGTGGCTTAACATACTGAACTGTAATTTTGACTGACTGATAAATTAAAAGATTGATGAAAGTTTATTTGAAGGGGGGAGACAACATGGATATCACATACGTATCAAAAAATGACAGGATGCCACATTCAATATTTTCTCCTGAAGGACGTAGCCTGGAAAATCAAGGGCCTCCAGAAGCAATACTTCAAGGCAAGATAAATACTTTTCAGGAGGAAATATATGTAATGTTAGGACAAATATAAATGACAATAGACTCAAACCACGAGGAAATCCGAAACAACTTTGATGATTTAAATAAGCATATTTCCAAACTAAATTTATAATTAAAAAACACCCAGGAAATAACAACAAAGGCACAAATAAATCAGCAGACTACAAATTAGAAGAGTATGATCAAATTGATGAAACAACAAAGGAAAAGAATTACAATTTGACACAAATAGGAAAAAATCTTCAAGGTTCTGAT